TTTTCCTCCGGAGCCCGGGGGTCGCCCCCCCCCCCCCCCTCCGAAAATCCCCCCCCCCCCCTGCTGGAACCCCTCCCCCCCCCCCCCCCCCCAAAACCCCCTCCCCCCCCCCCCCCCCCCCCCCCCTCGAAAACCGGGGGGGGTCACTACCGGTTCGAACCCCCCCCCCCCCCCCCCCCCTCCGGATCCGGAAAACCGGGGGGGGTCACTACCGGTTCGAACCCCCCCCCCCTCGAAAACCGGAGGGGGATCACTACCGGTTCGAACCCCTCCCCACCCCCCCACTCACCGCCAGCAAACGACTCCCGGTCCCTACCACCGTCCGCATCACATCCTCCACTGTTGTTCCCAGCACCACTGTCCTCACCACCACTGTCCCCACTGTGTCCCCACCAGTGCCCCCACCACTGTCGCACTGTCCCCACTGTCCCCACCACTGTTCCCACCACGGTTCCACTCTCCCCACTGTCTCCACGGCCCCAACCACTGCCCGACTATCCCCACTGTCCCCACTGTCCCACTGACTCCGCCGCTGTCCCACTGAGCTGTCCCACTGTTCCCACCACTGTCCCCACTGTCCCCACCACTGTCCCCACTGTACCTCTGTCCCATTGTCCCACCGCCGTCCTCGCCACCGCCTTCACCACTGTCCCCACCACCATTGTACCCTCCACTGTCCCATTGTTTCCACCTCATTCCCACTGTGCCCACACCACTGTCCCCACCACCACCGTCCCCACCACTGTCCACTGTCCCCCCTGTTCCCACCATTGTCCTCACCACTGTCCCCACCACTACCGGCCCTCTACTGTCCCACTGTCCCACTGTCCCCACCACTGTCCCGCTGTCCCCTCACCACTGTCCCACCAACACCGTCCCCACCTCTGTCCGCACCCCCACTGGGTTTTCGAGAGGGGGGGGGGGAGGGGTTCGAACCGGTAGTGACCCCCCCCCCTTTTCATGATGAGCTGGGGGGGGGGGGGAGGGGTTCGAACCGGTAGTGACCCCCCCCCGGGTTTTCCGGAGGGGGGGGGGGGGGGGGGGGAGGGGTTCGAACCGGTAGTGACCCCCCCGGTTTTCCGCCAGCAGCGGTAGAACACGCTCTTTCCAAGATGGCCCCAAGGTGGCCCAAAGAGGCCCCCAAGAGGCCCCCAAGAGGCCCCCAGGAGGCCCCAAGAGGCCCCCGCAAGGCACCCAAGACGCCCAAGAGCCCCCCAGGACCGCCAAGAGACCCCCAAGACGTCCCAAGAGGCCACCAAGAAACGCCCAAGAGATATCCCAAGAGGCTCCAAGAGGCATCCAAGAGGCCTCTGGCCTTTTTGCTTGCCCTCCTCCTCCTGCTCCTCCTTCCTCTTCCTACTCCTTCTCTTCCTCCTCCTCCTCCTCCTCCTCCTCCTCCTCCTCCTCCTCCTATTCATGTTCTTTCTCCCCACTCCCTCATCCATCAATCCAGTCTCCTCTTTTCCTCCTCCTCCGTCCTTCGCACGGTTCAGCCGTCCCGCTCTTTGCTGCCGCACTTCCCTGATCACCTCAGCTCGCCGGGACATCGTGCCTGCATGGGCTGGTGGGGATACGCGAAGCGTCTAGAAGTTCTGAAGGGCACGGACCCCAAATGTCCCAGGCGCTCCTGGGCCGGCCTGCGGTGGCCCGTGTGAGCTCTGAGGTGTTTCCTGCGCCTCCTGTGAACGCTGTGATCCCCCCAAAGCGACCTCCCGAACCCTCCCATGTGTCCAAGAAAGCTTCGAGTCGCCGAAAGAGCGCTCCAAGACGCCCGCAATAGCCTCAAGACGGCCCAAGAGGCTTCCACGACGCCCCAAGAGGCCTCCAAGAGGCCTCCCACGAGGTCCCCAAGAGGCAAACATCTATAACTGCTCCTGGGTGTTTGAAGGATGTGGCATTCTCCCCGTTTCTGCTTTCCGACGCTCCACGACGATCCAAGAGGCCCAAGACCAACCCGAGAAGGCCCAAGAGGCCTCCAAGAGGGCAGCAAGACGGCCTAAGAGCGCCCAAGACGGCCCAAGAGGCGCCCAAGACGGTTCAAGAGGGTTCCAAGACGGCCTAAAACGGACCTAAGAGAAGGAACACAAACCGAAAATCCGAGCTTCCGCCCCATGAGGCCCCCAGGAGGCCCCAAGAGGCGCCAAAGAGGTCCCAAGAGGCCCACAAGAGGCCCCCAAGAGGCCCACAAGAGGTCCCAAGAGGCCCCCAAGAGGCCCAAAAGGGACCCCAAGAGGCCCCAACCAAAACGGCCCCCAAGAAGCCTAAAAACTGCCTCCAAGAGGCCACCGAGAGGCCTCCAAGGAGATCCCAAAGAAAATCCAATAGGCTCCATACCCACAACCTAGTCACGGTGGCGGAATGGGCCGAAGGCCATCCAATATGTAGACATGAAGCGATACGTTGACACAGGTGTGCACCGATGCAAGCACGCACATGCAAATGTAGATATGTATAGATGCCGGTGCAAGCACCTAACCATATAGCTGTACGCATGCGCATACACCTGTTCGCATGTATGTGTCCATACATGCAAGTGCGCACGTTCGTACACACACAAATATGTATACATACAAGCTCAGATACGCAAAGGCACATACGTATACATAAAGATTGGCGTGTACACATTCATATCCATGCATACAAATACACACACACTTGTACATGTATGCCAACACAGATGTAGTCACCTACATATGCACATGTTGTGTAGATGCATGTGCGTACGCTTCTGCCTAGGCGAATATATATCTATATATATATATATGTATATATATATATATATATATATATATATCCATGCACATATACCTACACAGTTGCATACAAATATGCATATACGCACGACTATAGATCACAAGCAGCCTGGCGAGTGCAGCTGCGGCGCGCGGCACCCGGGTTGGCCACCAGCTTCAGGGTATTCTCCCTCTCGAAACGGCGCGCAGGGGCCATCCGGTGTACGGGGCGCGCCAAGGAGTCCAGAGCCAGCGCAAAAGAGTAGACCGCCCCGCGCGCCCCTGCGGCGGGCGCGGAGCGGTCCTCGGCAGGGTCGGCCCGAGAGCGGAGCGCATCCGGCGCCGAGGCGGACGCCGTCGGCGTCGCAGTCTGGAGCTACAGGACGCACGTGGCCGAGGCTTGTCGGCGAGACGTCGGCGTCGTGGTGGTCTGCGTGCGGGGAGGAGCGGTGCGCCCTCGGGGCCGAGGCGGTCCCGCAGCGGCGCGGTCCACGGGGCCCGCAGGCGCGGCGGAGGTGCGGGGGGTTGCACCCCGCGCTGCTGGTCCCCAGGCTCGTGGGCGAGCCCAAGGTGGCTGCGGGGGGGCCAGGGTAGAGGAAAGAGAACTGTGCACAGACACCGATTCTGGCCGGGCCCATCCTGAGCCCGGGATCGGTGCCTACGCCCTCTTACCCTGGCCAGGAAGGTATGTGCACCGATCCTGGGTCAAGGATGGACGTTGTCAGGATCGGTGCATGTGCATAGTTCTCTTCGCCCGAAGTGGGCAGCCCGGCCGACAGCCCGCGGCGCTTCCGACCGCTGGCTGCTGCGCGAGACCAGGGGCCAAGGCCTGCAGGGCGGGCGGAGGCCGCTCCGCGGTCGAAGGCGTGGACCTCGGAGTCGGCGCCATCATGGGGACCACCGTCGAGGCCGACTGCTGGCCCAGCGGCGTGGAGGAGCCCGCCCAGCCGCAGCGCATCCTCGGCCGCCAAGCGCCAGCCTCGGCGATAACGGCTTGGAGCCGCGTCAGCTCGGCAGGCGCGACCGCCTCTTGGGCAGCGGCAGCGTGGCCGTCCACTGGCTCTTCCGCGAAGCTGGGGCGCGCCTGTGTTGGGACCAGTTCGGCGGGCGCGTGCCCGGCCGGCCTGAAAATTCGAATTCGGTACATTCGTCAAACGTGTTATCTTTTCTATGTATGCCCTTGAGGCGTTTCAATAACAGCTCAGACAGACTGACCTTTAAACAATGCAGCAAATACTTCCACTGGTATATAGCAAGTCTGACACGACGGTGGCTCCATCACGAAAACCCCCAAGTCCGTCTCTATGTTGGAGCCATCCTGGGCCCTGATGGGCTCTTTTGGGACAGTCTCAGAGCCCTCTTGGAACATCCCCCTCCTCGCTCTCCTCCTCCTCATCCTCCTCCCCCTCCTCCTCCTTATCCTTCGACCATATGCGGGAGTGCAAGCTCGAGGCGTCAGCAACTTCCTCCCCCTTCATCCTCCTCGCTCTTCTCGCCCTCGTCGTTATTATCTTTCTCCTCGTCGCTCTCCGTCTCGATTTTTTCCTCGCTTTCCAACTCCTCTTCGCTCTTCCATTCCTCATCGCTCGCCGTGGCATCGAGCAACAGCATCCAGCCGCTTAGGTGACCAGCGCAAGAGGTGGCGCGATACATAGTGCACTAAAGTTTCGCGGCCCAGCGTTGCCCGGAGCGAGCCCTCCCGCTCTGCGGACCCTTCCACTTTTTCACCCTTTTCGTCATCGCTCTCTCGGCCACCTCCTCCTCCTCCTCCTCCTTCTCCTCCTCCTCCTCGCTCAATACTGCCATTTCTCCCTCTCCATCCTCCCTCATCTTCCTCCTCCTCCTCCTCCTCCTCCTCCTCCTCCTCCTCCTCCTCCTCCTCCTCCTCCTCCTCCTTGCTCCTCCTCCTCCTCCTCCTCCTCCTCCTCCTCCTCCCTCCTTCCTCTCCTCCTCCTCCTCCTCCTCCTCCTCCTCCTCGTCCTCCTCTCCTCCTCCTCCTCCTCCTCCTCCTCCTCCTCCTCCCTCCTCCTCCTCCTCCTCCTCCTCCTCCTCCTCCTCCTCCTCCTCCTCCTCCTCCTCCTCCCTCCTCCTCCTCCTCCTTGCTCTTCTTTTTCTTTCTTCTCCTCCTCCTCCTCCTCCTCCTCCTCCTCCTCCTCCTCCTCTCCTCCTCCTCCTCCTCCTCCTCCTCCTCCTCCTCCCCCCTCCTCCTCCCCCCATGCCCCTCACCGCACGAAGGGCGGGAGGCGGACGGGCCGCCGAGCGAAGAGCCCGCTCTCGCCGCGGCCTCCCCCGAAGGAGTCCGCGAACTTGCCCGCGATCGAGTCGAGGCCCGCCTCTGGAGCGCAAGCCGCCAAAGGGGGGAAGAGATGACTGAGAATCAAGGGGTCCCTCACCCTTTGGGAGCGGTCAAAAGTTAAGACGCCAAAAACGTTGGGGATTGGGTTGTCCAGCAAAAGTATCAAATCAAACCACCCAGATTGCGTATCCCCGATGCAAAGACGGGGACCTTCGCTAGGCTGTAGAGGCACAGGTCCGGCCGACATCGACACCGACATTCGGGTCGACCATTGTTTTATATTGGTGTTGGGGGTTCTTGCGTCCTTGATGACGGGAGAGGTACCAGCTCGGTCGAGATCCAGGGCTTCTCTTATCCTCAGTGAAGGGAGAGGCACCAGTCCGGCCGAGATCGACATCGGCGTTCGGGCTTTTGTTTTGGAAAGAAGGAAAAAGAGGCGAAAAGGGAATGCGACGACCAACCTGCAGATCCACTCGTCATGCTGTCCACCGCGGGCTTCAGGAAGGGGCATAGAGCGACGCGAATAAACCCCGGGAAAGCATCAGCGCCACGGGCGAGCACGACGAAGAGGACAACTAATAACAATTGCAGACCGAAGCCGGCACCACTGTTTGTCGCCAGGCTGCCAACGCGTTCTCGTTCATCGTCGCCCAGGTGGCCTTTCGAACAAAAGTAAGCGACTGCTCTCGAGAAGGCGGGAATATGTTTTTTGCGGACACCTCGCCAACAGACTGCTGAAGAAATCCCAGACCAAAGGCAGAGCCATGTGACTTCTCGCAGTGGGCCGCGGGCCAAAACTGCTCGTGATTAGAGCGTGCTGCACGACAGTCTTTGCCGCATCTCGTTCAAATAATCGCGGCTAGCGAAACGTCCGCCCGCGAGCGTTTGCAAGCAAATGCACTCCGCTGTCGTTCGCTTGAGCTCAAGGACAAAGTCGATCGTGCTCAGGGACAGCTTTCTGCCGATCGATTTCGTTGAGTGTGAATGGGGGACCGCCTTTTGCTGGTCAGGGTGGCTCATAACCTGGAGCAACAGTGCGTCATCCTCTTCGAGACATTGCATTCTGCCGTCAAATAAGTTCGGCATGTCGTCGAGACGAGAACTATCACCCATACCAGGATAAGGACTGAGCACCGCGAGCTAGTGCTACGATTTAAGATAGCGGTGATGCCTAGGTGCGCCAAAACGGATGACACGGCGTACCCAAGGTCAGCACGACGCTCCGCGTCCAACATGTGAGTTCGCAAATACGTATCGAACCTTATATCGTACTTTGGGGCCTCCACAGTGCAGCGGCGGAACCGCGAGAGGAACCGCTGCGTAGGATCGCGCGCCCGAAGCACGACCATGAGGTTTTGATAACAGTCCGAAGTCAGCGGGCCCCCTTTCTTCAGCTGGGTCTGGTGAAGCTGGACGTAGTCCGTAGACTTGCTTGTGACTGGCATCCTGGATTTTTACTCGCTAGCGCCCCGCTTCGGCATGATATCTAGACTCCTAATTTTTATGTATCCACGAAAAAGGGAAACAACTCAATCGCACCGCCGCCACATTTGCCGGCATGGATCTAACGCAGCCGCGGGAGCACATGACCATTCAGCACCCTCGCCGTCTTCCACCGTCGGTCGCCCCGGAACCTGGCGTCTCCCGCAGCTCCCGCGCCGCAGGAGTCCTGCGACGCCTCGTCCCTCGACTCCCGCGCCGGGCCACGCGGCTCGCTCGTGGAGCTGGACGCCACGGGCTGGGTCGAGGGCCGGGTCGAGCTGGAGGCCCCGGCGCTGGGTGGGGGCGCCGACGGCACAGCGCAGCAGCACGGTCACCACGGTGCTGGCGAACATGCGCGCGCGCAACCTGCGGGGCGACCCGCCCGCGGTCGGACAGTGCTGAATTGAGCTCCAATTGCCACTTGAACCAAGGGCTGCGGCATCGACGCTCCGGTTGATCAGTGTCCTATAGGGCTCTTGTATCCCCGATGACGGGAGAGGCACCACTGGCCGAGACCCACATCGACATTCGCGTCGATCATTGTGCTATTAGGGCAGGTGTTATTTTATCCTCGATGGGGGAAGAGGCACCAGTCTGGCCGATATCGGCATCAATTTTCGGGTCGATCCTTGTGCTATTCGGGTCAGGGGTTGTTTTATCCTCGATGGAATGAGAGCAAAACAAGCACGGGGGAAACTGGTCCCGAGGGAAACGGGTCCAGGACCCTTTTCCCTCGGGAGCGCCCCCTTGCGGTCCCCGTGCCGAGGCCCTCGCGGTGTGGCGCGCTGGCTGCCCCCTGCCTCGGCCGAGGGCGCGTCGGTCGGGCTCTCGCGTGCTGCCGTCGCCTCGAGGAGGAGGAGGAGGAGGAGGAGGAGGAGGGAGGAGGAGGAGGAGGGGGAGGAGGCAGGAGGAGGAGGCAGGAGGAGGAGGGAGGAGGAGGGAGGAGGAGGAGGAGGGAGGGGGGAGAGGAGGAGGGGGAGGGGGGGGAGG